ATGGTGTCAATTATATTATATATTTTATATTTGTATTTTTATAGTGCGTTATAATAAATCATATTAATAACAAACGCTATAAGTATATTATAGAATATAAATATATGGTATAACTTCTAGGCTAACCAGGAATACCTTCAGCCTAACTTTACAAGGACCCTAAGGAGGGTCCACCATGGGCCAAGGCAAAGCCGGAGCACCATAGATTTGGTATCTTATCCTAGGGGTAATGGTTATAAAGAATAATTTCAATTTTAGCTAACAATGATTAACATTTATTAATTATTATAAGTTCATTATTTTTTTAATTATTATAACAAAATAAAATTTAATAGACAATTAAAGCATACTAATAAATAAATAAAAATACTATAAACAATTAAATGATGGTCAAGGATTCCAAAAATAAATATGAGTAGAAGGTCTAAGATAATAAATATGAATCCACAAGTCATAACAGAAACAGGTAAATGAAAACAGATTCAGTTAATATGATTTCTGCCCAATAAATTATCTTTTATTTACATGCATTATTTGGCACACATAGCGGTAACATTGTGATTTATTGCAATTATAATTAAATGTCTACAAACATACAGGCATCAGACCGGCCTCTATATTTTCTGAGTAGTATAACTACACATGATTGATGTACTTTGAAAATAGTGTTCACATAGACCATATTTAAAAGTTCAATATCAGAACAAATTAACATATCAAATATTAACTGGATAAAATCATTTAAATAAAATTTATACACAATATTAAATAATTAATTTAATAATGTACCAACAATAGAATAATAAATAAATAAATAGGAGTGTAACATGGGCATAACAGATCCAACGCATGGGTCAGAGTAAAGTGGACATGTCATTAACGTCAATGGGCATCCTCTACATAAATGTAAGGGACTCATTGAAATGTTCACCATATCTCACACTCGAGAACCTGTCAACTCACGAAAGATGAAGAAAGAAAATTAAAGAAACAGAAAGAATTGACCATACAACATAATTTCAGACCATAGTTACAATCCATATAATCATTAACTAAAATAAGAAAAAAAAGGTTTTAAAAGTCTACTATAGAAAAAAAAAAATTGTTTGGTAAGAGCTGGAAAAGTGGCAACAGACACAAAATTAATATCTTCCCAGCTTAGCATAAAAGCTAAAAAAAAATTAATGAAAGATCTTTTCAGATTTTTTCTAACAAAAATACAATAATAGTCTTAATAAAATGTTATCAGTTAACGTTCATTCTAGTAAAATATTCAGATTTAACATAATTAGATCTAATCTCTTTACACACAAGAGCAAAACTAACCAGCTAACCTATGTAAATAAAATTTATCAAAAATACAAGTTCAAATGCAACTATAACCATATTCTATAAAGTTTTTTTCCTATTTAAAAAAATATTGGATGAAGTCCCCAGTGAATGAATAGTTTTTCATTTTTTTAAGTTCTTTTTGATTATTTGATGTTTTATGTATTATATAATTTTATATTTTGATATCAGACTTATAAAGTTAATAAATGTTTGTTGTCTGGAAAATTTTCAATAATAATATAAAAATAATTATAATTAACTAACACAAAAATTGAAACTTATTATTTTATGTTGAAAATAATGTGAATGATATATTAAAAATTGTGATATAGCAGTAACACTTAATTTAAATATTTTCTTTATTATAAAAACTACCAATAACTTGTTACGATCGATTAAACAATGTTTTATTTAAAAATTCAGTGGTGTTTGTTCACTGGTGATATTACCTTATATAAGATGATAGTTATAAATTTTAACAATAGTTTTAATTTAACAAATTCGTTGCTATTTTTAATTATAACAGTATATATATGAACAAATTAATTATAGGATTCCGAGGAATGTAAAAAAATGTTATACAATCATACACATTAAATATAATATCCATAAAACATATGTAAATATTACCATTTTATTACAAACCAATTTTTCGCAACATTTTTTAACAAAAACTTTAATAAATTAAAGTTTATATTTGCATTGTTTATAAAATTACAAGTTTTATGTTATTTTACTATTTTTATTCATAAGTGATACTAATTTAAATATATTATTTTTTTTTTCTTATGACAATTTTTATAAATCATTATTTACTTACTGCGTTAATTTTTTTTCGAATGGTACTGCTCCGAACAAATTTCTTAGATTGATCGAATGTATATCTCGTATTTAACACGATTAACATAAAATAATAAGTTTGACAGAATATTAATTTTAAGAAGATCGGTAAAAGGTACGACGACAACGTCCATGGAAACTACACGTAAGACTAAACAAATATTTCATCAAGTCATCGATGACATTATTGTGTAGTTAAAAGTGGGATAATAATTTTTTACGATACGCACAAGTGTACATTTTGTCTACACAATTATACCTTTTTTGTCGTGGGATTACCTAGCAACAGAAACAATAAAATATAAGAATAAAAAAAAAACTTCAGTAAAATTAATACTTCCTCAGCTTCATATCAAATATAAAAAATAGAGTAATAATAAATAATTAAGTATACATCATAAATATAAAACAATAATATAAATAAATCATACAAAATTCATGCAGTTTCTCAGCCATGTCTGTATTTATATACCAACGATTTGTAAATTTGCTACTTCTGTTTCTGTAGCGCCTTTTGTAGGGTTTCTACCATAAATATCAGGTTTAGACGGTCAAACTAAGGTAACTAGTAATTTTTAAAATTACCATTAAATAATTAAAATTACTTATAATTATATTATGGTAAATTATAATTCACGTTAAATACTATCCAACACTGTAATCCTAGGATATAATTAAAAGTACAATGTAAATATTAAATCTTCAGCTATTCCTATAATATAAAAGAATTTTCAAAAAATCTGTAAAGCACAGTATTTTTCTCATTTGAAGAACCGAATACAAAAACAACCAGTAAGGAAACAAAATGGCTAAATACAACATATTTATATTTTTTTTTTGGATAGACTTGAAATGTTATTTATTATTAACCAATTATTTATTTATATCAATTTTTATTTAAAAAAAAAAGATAAATATTTTACCATAATTGCATAAAAAATGACTAAATGCACAATATAACTTTTTTTTTTTGGTAAAATTAAAAATGAATTGCTTCTAAGATTGTAGTTAGACTATCGACTAAGCCACATTTAGATATTTTAAAACTATAAACCTAGTATTCTATTTATTAATATATAAATATTATATTTTTATGTTCTTTAAAACATTACACAAAGTGTATGTATATAAATAAATAACATTAAATCTACAGAATAAAACTGTATTGCAGTCCTTTAAGGTTCGAGGTCTACATTTTGGACCAATAATTTTTTAGCTGTTTATTAAATTATATATTAAGAACAATTGTAAAACTTCATTAAATTATTCTAATAAGTGATCTAATTACATGTTCCTTAAAACCAATAGCTAATTGTAACTGAAGTTCTGAAATTGAAAATTTTATGGAGAATCCGTTTATTATAACTTATTTAAATTATCTGAATTTACTTCAGTGTTGAAAAATAATTTTGTCTATTTACTATTTTGTCTTGAATGCATATAGGTTCATTTCATGAGAGTTTTAATAGGTATATAATGCAAATTTTGTTATTTAAGTGTAGTAATTTGAATTTTAGCTATATTTTTTTTTATAAAATTATTACTAAATAGTAAACAATGATCAAATATTTTATTATTTATATATTTTAAAAAAACATTTGCAATTTTTAGCTAGGTAGGTCACCTAATATATAAGTATAACTGTAATTACTAGTTAAGTTAGTGTTAATACATATAAATCAGTAGATGTCACTTTTTTACTTATTTATGTTTAAAAAAATTCTATTTAGGTTAATAGTTAACATATAAATTTAACCTTTAATAAATTGTATACATTTTATACAACTACAAGTAAAAATAATAGTTACTTCATTTTAATATTCCTCATTTTTATTTAAAAAAATTATGATTTATGATTTAAGAAAAATATTGCTCAACTGTTTTTATTTATATATCATAAAAATAATAGCTAGGATAATTTCATCAATGAATAAACAGTTAAAAGTTTTTTAACTTAAAAAAATTCTTTATGAATTCATATTTAAATGTCACACACGTAAAGTAAACAAATATTTGTTTTCTGGAAAAATCTTTTTAATAATAATGTAAAAATATTTATAATTAACCAACATAAAAATCACAATGAATTATTTTAAGCTGACTATTGAAATTTTACAGTAAACTAACACTTTTTACGTATCAAAAATTTTAATATGATAATAAGACTTAATTTAGATTGGTTCTTTGTAATAAAAACTAATAACTAAAACTTGTTAAAATCAGTTTTGATAATTTTTTAGTTAAAAACTAAATGGTAATTTTTTACTAGTATTGTTCATTCACTGGTGATGTTAACCTATTTTTATTATTTAAGAATAATACAGTCATAAAAAAAATATTTTAAATTATCTGAAATACTAAATGTTACCAAGAAACAGGGATCATATTTAAATGAAATTAATTATGTTTTGAAAAAATACAATATTTAAAAAAATTATTATTATTAAAATAAGTCATAAATAGAAAAAAATTAATTAAGTAAATATAACTTATTTTATTCTTATAATTAAAATTATTTTTTAGTAATTTTTTAAAAATTGCAATAACTTATAACTAATTACTAAAATTAAATTAAATATTTTTCATTATTTTACAAAAAAAGTTAGAAAGTGTATTTACTTCTTTCAAATCTTGATTTATTTCCATAAATTAAGAATAAGTTAATTTTTTAGTTACCCGTTTTCAATAATTTAAAAGTAATAGTAAATTGATTTTAATAGAAAAATCTGTGACCTTGTACTTGAATTTGCAAATAATATGTTTATATTGCCTGATATTTCAGAATTTTACTTACTAAATAACCTAACCAATTTAAAAAAAAAAAACAATAATAACTATCTAGTTTTAATAAAAAAGTATTTTTAAAAACTGGAAATTTGATCTGTACAATAAATATTAATATTATTCACATAGTAATAATTAAATGGTTTGAAGAAATTATATGAAAAAGTATTAAAAGTTAATTATTATTTTTTAGATTGACCATTAGTAGTTGTCAGCTCGTGGTTATTAACAGTTTCAGGATTATTCCATGTCTGAAGTTCACTAGAACCAACAAAATTGTACATAATACCAGGCATAGCTATAATCACAGCTGAAAGAGCAAAGAAATGTTGCCATGATTCTAGAGTATTCTGTAAGAAAAAATGTATTATCAATAAACTGCAATAAGCAAACTATTATTAGCAAGTATACATTATCATTTGTAAAATATGACAAGACAAAAGGTGAAATCATTCCTGGAATCACTCCAATTATACCACTGAAACCTTGCAATACACCTAAGAAACATTATTTTGAGTTAAATTATTTTTTATAATAAAGCTATTAAATAATACTCACTAGCAAAATTAGGTGCTAAATCAACCATCATTGACAGTGGGCCAGATGTTGATGCACCACTAGCAGTCATTGCTAAGACCAAAAATACATTAACTAAGATATAATCACAACCCATGTAAACGATTGCTAGTACAAGTACAGCTTGCACACAAGTACATATGTTGGTAGAAATTTTGCGTACAAAAGTTCGACTATATAAACCAGAAGACATTAATGAATCTATACCAAATGATAAGAATAAGGAGAAAAAAAATCTGGTCAAATGAGGTAACCCTGACCACATTCCAATCTAAAAAAAATTACAATATAAATAATAAGAATTGATTTTATATCTTACTGCTAACAAACCATTTGTGGGCTCCATCCAAACATGAGGTTTAAATAAGTTGGTGTCTGTGTCATAAGAGTATGAAGAGCCCATCCTGTTCCCCATTGAACAAATAATGCACAATATACTGGTAAAGATGTCACTACAGATTTCCATGGAATAGGTAACTGAAATTTAAAAATAATTTTGTCACTAATGCTAATTAAATAAAAGAGTTAATAAATTTACAAAAATCCACTCAAAAATTACAAAACGAAATTCTACTTTCTATTTTGATATTATTACATGAACTTATTAAAATTATAATTCTTATATTGGATGATCTAATAATCCCTAATCAATGACAACATTGATACAATTAACTTACAGGCTTTGATGATACCATAGTAGTTAGACTGCTAGTGATGTGAGCAAGTTCATTTGGAGATATAAATGGATGTTCAGCTGGTGTATCATATACTAACATCCACCAAGCGATAAACCACAATACACCAACTGTTGCTGTTGTATAAAATACATATGACCATCCCAATTGCTCCATGATGACACCACATAACGGATAAGTAATAGCAACACCAATCGAACTGCCTTTTTAATTTATATATTAAAAATTAGAAACATGAATAGAAATATCAATGTCTTATGAATAAAATTTTTAAGAACAGAAAATTAACATTCTGTCAAAATCTTAGGCGTGCTATAATGATTAAATCTGCCCATTAGAAAGTTAAACAAAATTTGAATGACTATTTTATTTAGCACATTACCAAGAGTAAAGTTACAAAAAATGTGGAATGATCTGTATATTTATGATAATTAATATGGATAATTCATGTTCTATTAATTAAATTAATTATTAAAAATGAATAAAATAATGACCCAGATATGCAGTGATAAAATTGCTCCGTTTATTTGGTGGTATCCAATGGGCTGTTAGATGATGTACAGAAGGCCACGCCATACCCTAAAAAAATAATACTTAATGATGTTAAGAAACAATAAAATCTAATATATTACTCCTATAAGGCCTTGTATAGCTCGGGCGGCCACTAGAGCTTTAATATCCCATCGAGCGGCCAAAGGCATTAAGAACGACAAAACAAACATTGCCAAATTACTGAAGCCAAAAATTCGTTTTGCTCCATAAGTTCGTGCTAGTAAGCCTCCAGGTAATTGTGTTGCCCAATGCAACCAATAAAACGAACCAAGAACCATTGCTCTTTCTTTATCGGACCATTTGAATTCTGTCTAACGAAAACCGTAATTTATATTATAATCAAATATAATAATAATTTGATTAGTTATATTTTTTAAATACACGTTAAAGTATATCATGAAAACTTTTTAAGTAATATTAAAATTGTCGTAATGAAAAAGATAATCCTTTTAAAATAGTCAATGTTTCAATAGCAAAGAAATCCTTTCGAATTAAATGAATCTTAATACTACCTAAGTATAAAATATGGGTTGTCTTAATACTCAACATCAATTTTGAGCAAGTAAATAAAAATCTAATTTAAGATTTTAGCTTCCACTATTCATAAATTATAATAACTACTATTGACTGTTGACAACAAAATTACTTCATGGACTGGCAATGATGAACGGTTACTCAGAACGGTCGTATTAGGGCACATATTGCTTTGTGTCCCACTGTTTTTACTTATTACTGTAGTCATATCCACTATGGCGATATTTAAATTGATACGTATCATGTAGTTGCAAGCAAACCCGGAAAATACCAGAAACCATAGTGAAACGGTAGCTAAAATTAAAAATGAACATTAGTTTAATAAAAATATCATTCTAAATTTTTCTTTAATTCATAAGCGTTCATTAGATAAAAATATTGAGGATGCTAAAATCATATTTTATTTAAGAATGTATAATGTGCAAAATAAAGATACCTCCGTTTTTGTATTTGCAGCTAAATCGTATTTTTAATTGTTACTAATTAATACTTAGTATTATGATAAATTAAAATACATAGGAAAAAATGGAAAATTTACTATTTTACTGCTAAAAAATTTTACAGTTGGAAACTACTAAGTTCCAAAGGTCTTTTTGTAATACCAGGAAATAATATCTACTTATAGCCAAACACAAGTGATTACAGACTACCGATTAAAAAATCTCAAAAATTCTTAATCCAGAGTAAAACTGTATTGAATTATAACAAAGGATAAGCATTGATATGAACCACTATTAAACTCAATATATTCCCCCAAATAAAAAAATTACGATATAATTTATGAAACATTACTATTTTTAATTTTTTTGTATAGCTCTAATTGAACTGATATTATATTTATTAAATTTTAACACAGAATAATTATTGACTCTGTTTATATTTATCTCTAGGCATTTTTGAACCGCATTAAAAATTGGCGCCCTATCACAAAAATGCTAATATTTTTAAAAAGTTACATTCAACCAGTTATTTTATTATTTATAAGATATTTAAAAATATGTTTCATTTCAAAAAACTAAAGTTAGAATTTTAAGAAGTGTGTAGAATCAAAATTATTTTTGAAATTTATAGAATATAGGGTACTAGGATTAATAGATATCATTAACTACTGAAAAGAAAAAAATATATTAGGACTTATATTTTTAAATATAGTTAAACAATTACTCTGTATAGTTGAAATATATTAAATTATTATAATAATTATATTATATTTTCTTCAAATTATCATGTAACTTGAAATTTAACTCTTTTATAATCTTCAATATTAAATAATCCAAGAATTTGTTAAAGAAATTTAAAGTTTTGCAAAGATCATTTTTAAAAGACAATAAATTGATAAATATATATAATTAAAAATCCAACACAGTGTGTAAATTATGGATTATATCTGACAGTGATTATAATCACTACTATGAAAAAACCCAGCACAGGGGGTCGCAGCACAGTGGTGACGTGACATTTTTGGGTCAAGTATAATGATATCTGACAGTGATTAAAACCACTACAAAAAAAAAATTGGTGGATTATTACAAAAGCTACATAATCTGCTAGTTCCTTATTAAAATCCTGATTAAGATAAAGTATATCGAATGAAAAATGGATTATTAAAAAATAGTATTTCTCATAGAAAAATTGTGTTGATCCATACACTTTTCAATGAGTTATAGCATTATAAAATTAAAAATGTAAAATATTGAGAATTTTCACACAACAATAGCATTCGGTAGCCATTTTCACCGTGAAAACAAAATAAAGTCCGAAATTTTTTTTTACCATTATAAAGTATATTACATTAGCTTTAATTTAATATATATATATATATATAAGTGTCAGACCTTCCGGAACACTTTCAAAATTTAAGTTGAAAAAGTAATTTTTTGTGAAAAAAATGTCATTTTAAATCACCCTCTGTGGGCAGGTAAAGGGTCAGATTTATAAAATAAATACATCAAATAATAGGTAAAGACATGGTGCATCTATAAAAAAAAATTATATTGATTTGGTTATTGTTAAAAAAGTTATGGCAGTTTTAAGTAAAAAAATTATCAAAAATTAGCAATTTTTAAATTTGTAATTTTTTTGGAGATTTCTCCCAGTTACGGGAAACGAGGAAAATTTTTTTCAATTTTTGAGGGTGATGTCTTCGACTAGATACGATTTGTGATCTATTGATGTATCGTTGAAAGAAATCAGTTCGGTGAGAGTTGAGAAAAAGTGGTGACACAAAAAAAAAACATAGTAAAACTAATACCTTCTTAACTTCGAATCGAAGCAAAAATGCTTCGATGCAAATTTGTAGAGTTTTTTATTTTAAGAGGGAATTATTGAATTATTTCAATAAACTACTTTCTTATTTATATCCTGATTACAAGTTTAATGATTTATAAGTATAATACATGAATAAATTATTTTAGTAATAATATAAAATGGAGGAATAGCGCGAAAAGTAATGGGTAATGATAAAAATAACACAACATTTACTCTATATTTTAAAATAGTTATAACTTCCGAAGTAATGGATCAAAAGTTGACATCGACCAGCAATTTTCTTAATTATATTATTTTTTATTTTATAAGTAAGTTAAATATGTATGGTGCCATTATAAAATAAAGTTAACACCCTTATAAGGTATAAAGGATGAATTAAATAAACTATTATAATTGATAAACTTATGAATATAAATCAACATAATTTACAAGTCAATTTTTAAAATATGATATAATTGAATTGTTTAAGTATAACTTGTAATATAAAATCGATTATGAAACCCCTAATTATAACAATCAATAGAAGTTTACTAGCATCCTCAGTATCACTTATACAGCAATTCATTATTTAAAAATACATATTTAGTACTGAGCTCTTTGTAAAGAAAAGGTATTTTAATCGCTCATTACTTTCTTAAATAGATAACCTTTCATCTCGAAAAACTTTTTGGTAAATATCGTGGTAATTACCACGTACGCGCTTTCCACATAAAAAAGTTTCAATTATATTTGAGGTTACAGGGAATATAATTAGATTTACCATAGTAGTAATAGCATAGTAGCAACAGTTCATATGATTATTTTTCTTATAAATATTATAAAATAACTTAAATTATAACGTTCGTGATTTTATTATTCTAGCCAAAATCATTCGAAAATAAGTATTGAAAGACATTTTATTTTAATGATAAATTCATTCTTTACAAAATTGACTTACAAATATGTATATTATTCAACTCACTTTTTGTTTTTTAGAAATATTATTATGAATTTTTATGATTATTGAATAAGGATGCAACCATAATAAGAGTGTTAATTTATATTTCAGGTATCACATTTTTAGAATTCAACACATCGCGTTTTATGTGTATAATATATTGCATCGTCGAAATTTTGACACATATTAAAACTTCTAAGGTTTTTCGATGAATATAAATTATCAACTAAGAGGTTATTTTTGGAAAAGGATCAAGAGTCATATTACTGGCTAATTAGAGCCAAAGATCTTGATACTTCAAAATTATTGTTTAATCAGCATCGTAAATAAAAAATAACATGTACCGATAACGCACGAAACAAAAACAACTGGCTAAACTATTGTTTTCTTATTACAGAAACTGAAATTTTTTTCATAACAAGAATACTGTGATATTTAAATTACAAAATAAATTTACGAATGGTTTGATAAGTCGTTATAAAATTGATAATTTATTTAAGAGATTTATAAGGCATTAATTTGATATTTATTCTTAGTAACACTAGTTATTAATCGGTATGAGTTATTAAATGACTCACTGAGTAGCATACTATTATTTTCCTAAAAATCATTTTACCACTTAATCTTGCTCAATTACCTTGCATATTCTTAACTTTACAAAGATAAATGCTGAAAGAATTTTATTTGATAAATTATTATGTTATAATATTAAAATCAGAAACCTAATGACGAAAATTTAATGTTTAATTGTTTTAATGTTAAGATTAATTGTTTTAATATTATTAAAGTTAATAAAAAGTTTTGGCTCTATTTATCAAAAAAAATCAATAGATGTCTATTTATTGTCTATAAATCTTATTTACTTATAATAATTTCATTTTATAGAAATCATTGAAGCTATTTTAATTTTCACAATAAATTTTAATGGTCAACTCAAAATTTTTTGTGAGGGCAGATAAAATTTAATAATAATTATTAGTTTAATATTTTTTATCCTCATCGTTTGCTACTTCAAATGAATATCAAAATAAATTATGATATTTTAATTTTTTTAAGTTTGATTTTTGAATATTTATATTTTGTAGGCTCGTGCATACATAAAGTTAAGATTGTTTGATAGATTATATTAAATATGCCAAAATTTACGTGAAAAAATGTATATAGACAATTTAAAAAAATAATAATAACAAAACAAGACAATATAATTTAATCTTTAAAAGCTCAAATTATTTACAAAATGGGAGGTAAAATAACTTTTGAATGTACTAAATTGTCATTTTAGTTTATTTTATCTATTAATTAATGTTACCTATACATTGTAAGATTAGAAATAAATGGTATTAATATTCATAATATGACTTCATAATAATACAATATAATAAATCTAATAGTATAAGACAAAAAAATACTTTTTAGCAATTGTTATTAAGACAATAACAAAATTTATATTTATAACCTTAAAATTGAAGTCCCGCTACTGAGCTGCCTCTCCACAAGTTATTGTTTTCTTTTTCAAAATTACATGTATTTAATATTTTATCATATGTACTTATTGTATATTTTATACAAATTGTATCTTTTTCTACAATAAAAAAAAATATAACCTGAAAATATAGTGATGATCAAGAAGCATGAAAATGAATTATAGCTAAGTAGAACAACAAAGTTTAATACTTATTTATTTAAAGAAAACAGTTTAACAACGGCTACTTTATTTATGTGCACATAAAAAAATAACGAATATATATATTTACAGTGTCTTAAACCTAACTGTTAGCGCTTAGAACTTTCATATAATTATTTTGATGATTTTTTTTTATAACTATTAACTTTTTGGAATACATTATAAGTACATATTAACCATTTTTTAGACATTTTGTTCCAAAAAGTTTGATGAGTCGATAACATTTTTATGACATAAACTCATAGAGTTATAATTATTTTAATACATGGAGCGGATATGGAACAAGTGCGAAACATTAATTAGACAGAAGTACTAAGTGAACCCACCCTCATTACATACCCACAAATATAAATTAAAATTCTTTTAACACAATTAAATCTTTTCCTGAAACTAATGTCTACACATTAAAATATTTTGTAAGAAAAAAACTAAAAATTGTAATATTAAAATTTTAAAATTACAGTTGTAATATTGTCATGAAAAACAAATTGTTTTAACTTTTGATAATATTTATTATTACTTAACTAAGATGCTACAGAAATGAGTTAAGAAAGAAGATTTTTAATTTTTATTTGAGACCCAGATCAAGCGTTTATAAAATTTAAGTTTATTCTCATTGACTTTTGACATTTGCAATTAACAGTTGTCAGTTAATTAGCCATGTATTCTAATTTTTAATTAAGTAACTAATTTTTTTAAGCTTGGTAATTAAAAAGAATTGCTTATCAATAATATTACAAAACATTTTACTAAACAAACTGTGTTCTTTTTGGGCCCTGTCTCATTTAAACTATTGAGCAATGTTATTTTTTTTCCAAAATAATTTTCAAATGTTAATACAAGAAACTGATTATACCAATAAAAAAATTAGTTCGAGTTAAAACAAAATATTTAGCTAAAATAGTCATACATAAGAGAATAAATGAACACATTTATATTGATTTTTAATAAATTTCTAAATAAAATATTCACTTTTGCATTGTAATAAATATTGCAACAAAAAGAGTTTTAACCAAAATTTTTACAATTTTTTAAGAGAACTATTTAAAGTTTTAAGTGACGTATCTTCTCTGTAAAATTTTTCGTTTTGTTTTATAATTTCTGATAAGTTAATGAAAAAACAAATTATAGTTTTACAGGAATATAAAATAAAAATGCTTTATTAGATTTTATGACAATTATAAAAATGAAAAATATGCAGTTATGACTCTTTTCGTTAGAGTTGGTTCAGATGTTAAATGGCTAAAAAATCGTCGGTTTTGTATAGACATAATACGTCCACACACAATCAACGACTTTTGATTTAAAGAAGATTTAAATTGAACTATTTATACACAATAAAACATAATTTAAATTATTTTACTAACAATTATTTCTTTGATAGAGATGATGAAATCTCTTTTGCATTACTGTAAGAGACTTTTATCGCCAACTTCGACTATTTTTCTATATGTAAAAGATTTTTTATAAAAGTTTTATAGTAAGAATAGATAAAATTATTGCAATTAAATCAAGTCAAGCTAATATTTTATTACTTATCACAGAGCATAGACTTGCTATAGACTTTATGGCTAAATTAACTAGTGAATGGAGTAAATAAATTTGTCAACCGATAAATTTTGAAAATTATTTTTATTTCATTAATAATATATTGATTATCAATCAAATATAATTATTAATAATAATTATTACTATTAAACAGGTATCCCATGGGGTTCTGACAAATCATTATAAAAATATATATAGATTTGTCACAACACCCTATATAATCAATTTAAAGTATAAACTGTTTTAAAGTTGAAGGGATTAAAATTAGTCGATAATTAATGATATGAATATAACACACCGTTGGACAAAATAATAGACCAAACATTTAAAAAATCATAAATTAAAAAATATATAAATTTTTTAACTTATATTATTAGCTTTAATTGTCTTCTGGCTCTTGAAGTTATAAAGATTTAAGATTTAAGACTAGAATTTTCGTCTCATAATAACAAATAAAAGTATATTAAATAATACATTTCGCTACAATTAAAAGATAATATAATAAAAACACAGTAATAAAAATGTTATCATGAGACTATAAAATGTGTAAAGTAAACATTTTGTATAGTTAATAAGTAGATAAATTTCTTGACAAAAGCAAAAAATACATTGTCAAAGTTCAACATCATTTTATTTAAAGTGATGATATTTTAAATACAGTTTCCAACTTATAAAGCGTTATCACTGTCATCGATTTATTAAAGTTAACCCATTAATAAAAAATAAAATAAATATTGTGTAATTATCACGCTAAAAATTGTATAGTAAACACCATGCAGAGTATTTAACTTTATTGGATCTATTTCACCTTAAAAAAAATTATTATAGTAATTTAAAAATAGATTTTTCGTTAATGTCAAATAGTCATAATAATTTTAATTACCAAGAAGAGCATACAACGATAAATATGTATTCAATTAAATATATAAGATAGTATTAATTTTCATATTATAATTGGCGAATTATTTTCTTATAGCTAAGAAAAATTACTCATCTTTCAATAACATAAATTTCCATTCGAGCAAATAATTATTTAAATGTTTTGGTAGCTAAATATTTTTACAAACAATATAACAATCAAGTAAACAATAATATCGTATTTTACTTGCACTATGAATATTAATATGTTATTCTTCATTACAATCCTTCATAAAGGTAATTATTAGCTTGTTCATTAAAATTTAACATTTTTTAAAATTACGTGCAAGTTGAATGAGTTTTTTTCATGTCAAAAACGATTGTAACAATTTTAAACTAAAATAGCTATTAACCAAAATTGTCTTGTTTTTCGAGGTCGAAGCATTGCAATGAAAACATTTAAGAATTAATTTCCATCCAAAAGCCTTATATTAAAAGTCAAATATTCAATTTTGGTTGAATTAGATGGGTTATTTGAAAAAAGGAACATTGTTTTGAAATTTTCAAATTTTTACGGAAATGTAATGACACTAACCAGAACATATTTTTGTTACATTCTTGTGTGATCATAGAATTTTGCTTTTAATCCTTTAAGTTAAAGTACCATAGTTGTAGAAAAAACAATGTATACATACAATGTTATACAGAATTGTTTATTTATAAATATATATTATAAAGGTTACGTAAGTACACCATTTTGAGGAAAACAAGAAAAGTTTTTTTGTCTATGAATTTAAGCACTTCAAGTTAAAAAAACAATTTTTATAATATGTATCAGATCAATAAATAATGTCAAGCACATAATATATTATATTAAACAAAATTTCAAAAATTAATTTAACTTATTTGGAAAATAAAAATTTTTACAATAACAGAATGCNTATTTGGAAAATAAAAATTTTCACTTTTTTTCACTTTCTGGCTTTTTGATAAAATGATTGCTTTTCTTACGGATGTATGAAATAATACATTTAAAATATTAACATATACATTAAATTCGATAATTATTTGCAAAATTACTTTTTCATTTCCCCTGTAAGATTTAAATATCTGGACATATTCCCTTTTCCAAATAATTCATTGAATTAAAACTCTCTTTTTAATTTTGAAATTTTACAAACTATTAATTGAAACATTTCTTTTTTTACTAATTACAGTATGCCAGATATCTTAAGTCTACATTTCAGGATTTTAAGAATAAACAGTTTATTTTTTTTAAGCTAATACTTTTTTACATTACATTTTTTTTCGTATTACTTTTGGGGGTTTATTTTATTTTTCAAAATTATATAGCATTACGTCTTATTATGTAGAATTAATAACATAAAAAAACTTAATTAAAAATTATTTTAGAAGTCGTTGAAAAGGGCAGTATATTAGTGTAATATAAAATTATGTTTTCTTCATAAAAAGGATTCTCTTGACAAATTTACTATTGAAAATTAAGCAAAATATAAAATAAATACATCTTATCTATTGCTTAATCTCAGTAATGTTAAAAGGATGGGTTTGGGTTTGGAAATCATAGAAAGTAATAAAACCCACCAATCCATAGAAATATGTTTTTACTCAAATTCAAGGATTTCTTAGAAACAAGAATTCTAGGTTATGGGAATTATTTAATGTGTAACCCGATAATTTTTATTCAATTCAACACCTCTAGTATGTCAGTGCCCATTTTTTATATAATAAGAAAAATAAAATCAAGCAGTTTATCATTTATTTTTATGATATTTTAGTAAGTAAAATCTAATATATTTAAAAAATGATTTAATATTATAAAACATCGAATTTAATAATATACTAAAAAAATTATTTTAAATACATATATTTAAATAACGAGATCAATCTATGATTCTCATAGTTATCAAATAAAACTTGTTATTTATGTTAAAAAAAAAAACATCCAGTTAGATGATAATTAATACTTTTTTAGTTCTAAGCAATTCGCGTTTCATGGAAACATTTTAAATCGTACACTGCTAAAAATTGTACATTTGATTGATGTATAAAAGGCTAAAATAGCCCATTAAAATTTTTATTTTTTGAATTCTAATATATTTTTACAGTAATATTTAAATTGCAATTGTTTGTATATGAGTTTGGAACATTTCAAATTGAAATCGAACATTTTTTGAGTAATATTTATCAACTGCGATAACTAATATTTTACAATTCTATTTTACAATAAATTATTATTTTTTTCAATAGTATCATTTAATTTTTTTAAGAGGTTAGTGTACCTAAATAAAACATTTCTGTTAGGACCATCACAGATAGCTGCCAACGGTTACAAATACAAATAAATTAGATTGATAATTAATGGTGTTTTTAAGGAATGCAATTTAAATACACTTCAATAACCTACGCGTATAACCGTTTTCACTTTAAACATTTGGTAAGACTTATAAAATAATTTTACTCAAATACAATACTAACACAACTATTAACTTAATATATAAGCATGATTATTTCAATATACGCTTACCTCTCATTTTTTTTAGAAGGTTGAATTCTATTAAAATGAAATAAAGATTTTCAGGGATTAATTGGCCCTTGACATTTGGCACCACTTTTTAAATCCGTTCGGGTAAAACGTGTTGATCCTAACAATGCGAATGAATAAAAATGAAGGCGGCAGGTCAGTCGCGGGCGATCAAACTCGCATACGCACATGGAGAGACTACCGAGTACCAACAGTGATAATGATTTTTGACGACGGCCGATGCGTATACTTTTTGTGATTAGTAACGTTTCTTACACAAACGGTATTGGTAAGTAAACGAGATTAAAAATAACTCAGATAACGAAAAAGCATTTAACGAGTCACTAGGCATAGAGTAAATTTATTGAAGGAAGAGCGAAGTAGTATGATGTTATGTAACCGTAAACATCATCAGAATTTTGTGTTCGTAAAAGTTCAGGCATTAGATAAGAGCAATTTACCTTTATTGTACGGATTCTGAGATTTTCTTATATTTTATAAATTGTCGGATGATCTTAATTATATTCCAGGGACAATTGTAGTAAGTTTTAGTTCCAACCATTAATACCAAACAAACAAAATAGTGGCAATGGCTCAATTTCAAAATATTTTCTTTTTGCTTTCTGTACATAACAAATATTGACCTAGGAGTAAGTGTTTCAAATAATAATTGGCATAAAACCAAAAGCTTTCAAATTTTATACTGAAAAAAAATGATAATATTTAATAACTCTTTATTTAATAAAATCTAAACACCAACTTAAAATTAAAATTACACAATTTAATACAAAAATGAATACAAAAGAACTAATACCACTACATTTCTTAAAACTAAAAAAAATCACAATAATTTATTCACAGATCAGGCAGGATAAAACTTAATAACAAATTAAAGATCTATTTATGAAACCATTAATTTATGATTTTAATTCCAAACGTAAAGGAAATGTCAACAAACTCAAATTACTTTAAAATGAAATACTAAAATTTAATAAAAATATAAAATTAAATTTTAAATATTAATGAGACCTCTGAATTGAGATTAAAATTATAATAAGTGTGAATGATTTCATCCCCAAGGGTTGATTTAACGATTTTTCTTAGGATGCTTAAACCGATTGTAGAATTTTACTTCCAGCATTTGAAAACCATCATCAACAAATGATAACCCAACAAATATAATACAAAATATCAAACACCAATATTGAAACAATGATGAAGTAATTAGATTATACACAGTAATGACCTAAAAAAATCATAAGTATTCTAAGCATTTTTTATCATTTTATTAACATAGGATATATTATAAAAACTTAAAGGTACCTCAATTAAAGTCCAGAACATAAAAGATAAATAAAGTGAATTGTGTGTTAGAGTATTTTCATTATTGACTGTTAATGAGTTAGACACAAATGAAGATGACAAAGTGAATTCTGCTAATCTCTTTTCTTTTTCACTCCAAAGTTCAATCAACCATAGCTTTAATCCATCAGTGCTTTTTGGTAAATCAGATATATCATACCTGTGTAATTAGACTAATATAAAAGTATTTGAAAGTAAAAGTATAAAAACAATTAATAGTAATGAAATTTAATTATACATTTTAAATATAAAGTATGTAATACTGCCATATTATTTATTTTTAATTTAAATTAAAAAAGATCATTCTTAAAATGTTTAAATGATTGGGCAGTTTTAAGAAAGAAAACAAATTGTGATATAAAAAAATATCCTCAGGTCTCTCATTCTCAATTATTATACTCAAATGAGCTAAAATTACTCATAAGTATTTTGATGATTTTTTAAACAATAATGAATAATACAGAATATTAAGTTCATTTCAATAATTTGGTATTGTGGTAGTAATGATGAATTTCTATGATTTTAATTAACCTTGATTTATAATTATAATTTTGATTTAAGTACTTTAAAATAAATAAGTTTCTAAAATGCTTTATTTAAATCTTAATGTATGAATTAAGTATTTTTTTATAAAGTTGTTTTTGAATAAACTTATCAGTTGTATAAAATTTTTCATAATTTAAAATAATGTCAAGATAAAATTTTTATTATTTAAAATTTTAAATGTAAAAAGAGACTACCGTTTAATGTGGAAATGCACATTTTTAGGAAATACACCACACAAAGCATCAATTTCATTTTGTGGAATTAAATCTGGATAACCAATAGTTATATCATATACAGCTTCAATTTGTTTATCTAAAATAAAATAATCATTTTTAACTGTAAAAAAATAACATTAAGGTTTATTTTTTAAATTACTTTTTCTCATTGTATCAGTAAGAAACACAAAACCAGTTGTTTTTGGATGCAAGACATATCTGTATTTAGGGAAATTGTTTTTTTCAGCATATATATTACTGAGCTCAATGTTTTTTAATGAAAGATCAGTACCTTCTGGGAATAATAAAATCTAAAAAAAAATCAAGAATAATGAAAGATCTAAGAATATTTTAAAAATCTTATACTTGATTGGTATCATGGACATTGCTAAAATACTTTAATTGATCAGCCATTAAACTTTGATCATGGTCCCAGCGACGTTGTATATACAAAAATCCAGACATCTGCATTACCCAACCAACAAATGGTACATGGCGAATTGCTGATTTCAAGACCATTTTCAATTTATGTGCTGGTGGTTCAGTACCATAATACATACATGCCCATAAAAAATTCCAATCTAAACGATTTCTATGATTCATTAATATTAATGCACCATCCTTAGGCTTTATATGATCTCCAGTAATTACAAACTCTGTTTTAAAAAGCAGTCGCATTAGTACCTGCAAAATAAAGATTATTATAAATGATAGACAACTAATTATAATATAAATTAATAAATATGCAAATTATTCTTACTGTAGGATACATTTCCCATACTGAGTATATTATACCAATAATAAAACGAAATAATTCAGGGTAGATAAATAGTAATGGTATTGTTGGACAACAGAGAATAAGAAAACCACTTGCTATGCTTAGGTACCAAAGAAATATGTATGCAAATCCTCGCCATTCCATGTTTTATACTGGTTAATTTGGATTTAGAAGATGTATTATCACTAAGAACAAATAATAAAATGTTTGATTGTCAATTAAAAAAATAGTAATTTTAAGAACAATCATGCATAGCGCTAGGGTTAAAACACCACACCAATAAACTAAAAGCAGAAATACATATAGAGGTACTAAATTGCAACAAGGTACAATAAAAGATTGTTAATTATTTTATGAGGTTTAAATAATAAAATAGAAAACTACAAATAACATTTTTGATCATCCACATGTATACATATATTAAGTACAAGATCTATGTTAACATTTAATTTTTAGTTACACTAAGAAAACAATATAATATTTAATTTCAATTTATTAATAAGTGACTGTAGAAATATGTTATTCAAGTAAAATTTATATATTCAAGCACAAGAATAATATTAAAATAATGTTGTATTACAATAAAAGTATATTATATTATAAGTTTATAATTCATCTGTGACATAAAATGTATAACTAAAATCTATTAACAAAGAAAATATTTAAGATAACATGTTTTTTTTTGTCCATGTAATATAAATCAGAAACATTTGGAATTCATTAAATAATACTCAAAAATAGTTAATTGGAACAATATAATTAAAAAATATACATTATGTTCTAATAGATAACATTAAATTTTAACCTCCAAAAAAATGTAATTAAATAAAATTTAACCTTTTTTTTACAATAGTAAACAAGATATATTTAATTTATTTTTATTTTAATACTCCCTTATTGCATATTATACTTAAATTTTTTGTTAAAAAAAAAAAATACATTATTTTTATTGGAATACTTTAACTAATTTACAAACATGACAAAATAAATTTAAAATCACACAATTTGTCCAGTAATTTATAGTATAATTTTCCTATGACTTCTTATACTTTGAATACTTCTTAAGTAATTGATTAGCTTCGCCATCAATTTCTTTATCCTTAAAAATAACATAATAGTAAACAAAAATTTTTTATTAGTTAAAATACTAATGAAATTTGTATCAAAAAATATTTTATTATATTTATTTTTTATAAATAATGGCAATGGATATAAATTTAAAATGATAAAAAAAAATAAAAAATATTTTTTGTTAAAAATTTATGTATCATCCATTTAAAATAAGTTTTAATTGCCTGTAATTAATTAGGAAATTGCAAAAGTTTGGCTAGTATAAAATTTAGTAAGGAGTTTTGTTTTTACAAGTTTATTTCTTTTATATTAGATGAAAAGTTTCTGAAAAACTTAATTGTATAAGATATAACATAATACTGGTTAAAAAAATAGTTTTCTATATTAATAATATGTGTGGTTTTTCAACATGACAACAAAATGTGTATCCTGAATATATAGATTCAAATTATCATAAATTTACTTACCTCAGAATCTTTAGTCGGGAGTTGCAAAACTTGTTCTAACCATTGTAAAGCCATTTCATATTCTTTTTTTGCTATAAAACATTTGGCAAGATGCAAGCGACAGTCTTTTAGCTGAATTGGTGATTCACGTTCAAATTTTAAGAACAACTCTATAGCTTCAGGGACAGTACCTTTAGGAACTTCACCATACAACCAGCTCGCTATACGGCGTTCAAATGAGGTTAAAATGGCCACCTGTAAGTAATTAATACTTATATTTTAAAAATATATACCATAAGAATATTTAAAAAGAAACCCTTACTTCATATTCCAGTTTTCCTTTCAAAAAATATAATGTGGGATCTTTAGGATTGATTCGTATAGCTTCATTAATATGATTTTGAAAAACATATCCTCCTTCTATTTTTTCTTTAGTTGACCCTAGTTGACCTCGTGCTCCACTGCAAATAGCAAACCATTTATGAGCATTACAGTTTCCAGGATACATTTCTAAAGCATGCTTTGCCCATTGTACTCCTAAAATAAATTATAAATGTTTTTTAACACATTAAAATAAAGTCAATTTTTTTTTTAATAAATTACCTTCATCAATAACAGTTTTGCTCTTTTCAGGATTTTTTTTTGCTGCATTATAATACTTAGATACAAATTGACATGACTTTGATAACCTCCATAAAACTTCAATGTCATCTGTTCTCTAAAATACAAAACATTAAAAATAAAACATAAGAAAACAAACCAGTCTTAGATTTGACATACTTCTTCATTAAGTTTTACTAATATTTCATAAGCTTTAAGCTTATCTTCATCATTTCCATCAAATAATTCATCTACTTTATCAAATATATCATCACTTAATAATGACATACAGTTATAATTACTTTGTATAGCTGTCATGTTTTCAATTGAACTAATGAAAAACATATAGTAAAAAATAGTGATATGTATTAATAGTTGTATTAATACTTTTCATTTAATTGTTGAGAACTTGGAGAGTCTTCATTATCAGATGACATATCGTGAAATTCGTCGTCAGTTCCTAATGCTGTATATAAACTTGTTTCACTTGTAACACTACTACTTGACAAGGTCAACCGGTGACCAGGTTTTAAAACTTTTTTCCTAAATAGAATATTAATTATTTGTCATTAAAATACTAAGTCCTTGACAAAGCTATAACAAAATAACAAAACATTTACTTGAGATCTTTTATTTCAGTTTGGAGATCAATTATTGCAATGTTTAAGTCATCTACTTCTTGCTTTAATAACAGTTTTTCTTTTTTTTCTAAAAGTCGAACTAAAAACACAACACCTACTGAACCGACTGTGATTCCAATACTAACAGCAACAGCAATCACACCCCTTATCCAACGCGAATCTGTTGACATTACATTTGGTGTTCCTACACAAGGAAACAATCAGAAAAAGCAGCAGTCATATATTATCTCTTTATCACTTCAATACATCATTTTAACTTTCAATTTAACAAACATTAAGATTATACTTGACTTAGATACATTAATAGTTAATAAATAATAATCAAACAGTAATGCTAATCAAATTAAGTAACACAAATCATAACATTGACTGTAAATGATATCAGTTGATAGAGATACGACCTTAGATTATTTAAATTTAAATTATTTGGATGATTATGATAAGTATACTTTGATAATAAAGAAAAAATTTTAAGTAGATAAAATATATAATTAAAAAATTACTAATTTTGTAAAACCAACTAAGAAGTAGTGTATAAGAATTATTGAATGATTTGTTTAAAACACAAAAATTTCTTTAAATTACACAAGTTAAAATAATATTTAAATTCAAAAAAAAAAAAAATAAAATATTTGATGTTAATATATCTGGTCTTAAAAAATTTTAATGAATATTATAAAAACCAGAAAATTTAGATTTTTATTGTAAATAAGCATGTGTATTACAATGCATAAAATTATGTAAGTAAATCATCATGGTTACATTTTTGTGAGAAATTAATGAAATAATAATGTCATTCTACTCTGAAACTAAATATATAATTAAAATCATATATTGACATTTACACATCATACACAAAGTACTTTTTTGTTTTGTTTTGAAAACAAAGATATTTTATTAACTATTATTAAACACAATACTATAAATTTTAATGATAATTATGTTATTTTAAAAATGATGTTTTAATACTTAAATATCACTTTTGAGTCACAATTTACATTACATAAAACAAAAAATTTAAAAGTTTCTAGTGGGCTTATATCTTAAATGTATTTACCTCTATATATTTATGTAATACACTTTATTTTATTTTATAATAAATAAAATATTGCAATAATGCAAACAATTTTTTTATTAAGAGACTAATTAGGTTCAAAACAAATTGGGTTACATTATCAATAATGATTACTGTTGAAATATTAAGTAGAAAAATTTTAAATAGTTATAAAAATTGTATTAATTCTATAAATACTTCAATAATTTATAGTACCTTATATGAAGAATTTTGTATCAATAAAATTATTATTAATTAATCTGCCACAATTAATAATTGTTACAAGGTTAAAATAAAGCATCCACACCAAAACAAAATAAATAAATCCACTGGTATAATCAGCACTTGTTAAAAGTATTTGAAGAATATAATACAGTAATTGATGGATAAAAATGACAAATTAAAAATTATATAAGAGTTCACAGGTGTCAGCGAGTATAAGCACTAGTTATGAAAGCCACAATAGAGGATATTGTTAAACGAGTTCACTTACCCTTACGAGCGTTTGTTAGAGTCTAGAGGTCATGTGAAACAATGGAAGTGAACAGATGATTTAAGAATTATGTATCGAATCAAAAGTTGAAATTAGACTACTTCTAAGAGAAATAAATAAAAAAAACCCACGATAAACGGATAAAAAAAGTCAATGTTTTTGCTTCTTATGTAACACACATGTATAAAATAAAATTTATTATCACCAAGGGAAGCGACAACTAAATGATAATCTTGATAATTTTAAAATATATTAATGACGAAACATAACTCTGGTAATAAATTACTTTCGAGTTAAATTAAGTATGAGATATTTAAAGTGGTTGTCTGGATCTCTTTGTGATGTTACCATTTCTTATCAGATAACTGAGTGGTGTAATTGATAAGGAGCATATTTAAATTTAACATAAAATTGTTTAATGTTTTGATAGAAGTAGTGTAGGGCAGTTATTAACAGCAAGAAAAATTCTTTTAAGATATTTTTTTCTTTCTGAATTTTATGAAAGTATCTTCAGAAATCAGCGAGAACATTAAAAATACTTTGTTGTTATGGCTAAAGCATCGAATAAGGTTTTAGTAGGTTTTGTTGATGAGCCAATTTCTGCTAACTCCCTTGATGATTCCTTTATGACTAATAAAATCGGTGGATTTCCAGTAAATAATTATTATTTTATTTAAAATATCTTTCTCGGTTAAACAAGATGTTTTTTATAGAATATACCAGAAGAAAGCAATATATTGCCACAATGTCCATTGTGTGGTCTTAATATACCTTTATTAGCTCAAATATATGCTCCTCTTTCAAATTCAGATTATCATAGGACATTGTATATTCATGCATGTGTTAATCCTAGTTGTTGGAATAAATCAGAAAGGTATATACTGATTCATGAAATTATGAACATAGGTTGATGTAAAGTAATGGATGATTCATATTAATAATAAATTATATTTTTAGTTGGATATGCTTAAGAAGACAATGGAAAACATTGGATAACAATGAAGAAAATAGAAAATCCTCAACATTTATCGAATGGTGTGACGATGCTGATGATTGGGGTGAGGCATCCCTTGTGGAAGAAAATGGAAATTTAAGTAAAAGTTTAGCCGCTACTGAACTATATTCTACATCAAGTGCAGAAATAGAAAATTCTGATGTAGATGAAAATATTTTAGTTGAAACAATTCAAATGCCATCTGTTGATATTATTCAACTTTTAGATAGTAAAAAAGAAGTACCACAAGTGAGTTTAAATTGATCAATAATTGTATTGTGACCAAAAATGTTGAATTAGCTGCTCAGTTTAATTAATTGGAAAAAGTCTATCTAAGAATTTTTACTTATAGATATCTCATTAATGTTTTAAAAGAAAATATTTAAATCTATTCTAATCAAACAAATGTTTGAAAAAATATAATTAAATTATATAAAATTCTTAACTAATTAAGCAGAACCAAAATAAAAACTTAATATGATATTGTAACTTTTTCTAATAAAAATTTAAATCTATCTTTCTTTTAATCGTTATGTAATTTAATTAGTGAGTAAATTATTTAGAATAGATTATATTTTTAAAAATGCAAAGTTAATAAAATGGAATAAAACCAATTTTAAATTCCTATAGTATTTTAAGAAATATAAATTTTAATAATTTTATACTTAGTTGTAAAAAAGATATATTGAACTTTTAGTATATGACTTTCTTTTTAGATATCACACAGTAAAAATATACTCTTTAAGCCTTTTTATATTTCTGTGGCTTTTGAAGAAATTCCAAAAAAAGAATTATTTGATAAAAATTTTAGTAATTTTCAAAATAACCAAATTCTTGTTGAAGATAAAAATGAAAGTTATGAAAAGAGTATTCCAATACATGGTGATAAACTTTTTGAAACATTTGCATCAACAATAAGAAAAAATCCTGGTCAAATTTTAAGGTAAAATGTATAGCTTAATTTTATTATAATAGTCAACATACATATATCATTTTTTCAGATATTGTCGAGATGGAGGTAAACCCTTATTCTTATATGAACAAGAAGAGCCTCTTAAATGCTGTAACTGCCAAGGGAAATTAATATTTGAACTTCAAATTCTTCCTTCATTAATTACTTATTTAAAATTTGTGAACGGAGAAAACTTTCATGGAAGTGGACACTTAGAATATGGAACTGCATTAATATATTCGTGCGAAAAAAGTTGTTGGGCAGAAATGGATACATATAAAAAAGATACTGTTATTGTTCAAGAAGAAAAAATTTTTTAAGTTTTATTATTGTATTGTTATGAATACTTATGTACCATTAAAAATATTACTATTTAAAATCGTCAATTTTTATAGTGTACTTAAGCAAACTTATGGTAGAATACTACTCCAATTTATTTATACTGTACATTTATTATGAATTGAGTACTAAAATCTTACTAATAGTAATATATAATTTTTATAACCAACAGAAAAAAAAGGTAAAGTACAGTGAGGTTTAGTAAAGTAGTGTTGAAGCATTTTTTAGATAAGTGATGGTTGATATCTGACAATGAATAAAATCACTATTGTATAACAAATTAATGGATATTTTAAATATTTAAAATTCAGCACAGTGGGGTCCAGTACATGTACAGTACTACATTCCCCGTACAGAATCATCTCTTTTAAATAACCTTCGTTCTTTTTGGTCTTTTGTACGCAAAACCCGCTCATCTCGTACATCACCCACGCATGTAGTGTTTAATAATGTTTCTAGTACCTACCTTAAAGAAGTAGCTAATATTTTTTCTAATTATTTTTCCTCTGTAAATACCCCTTCTCTCAATTCTTTATCTTGTCCAGCACAACTTCCCCCCAATTTCTCCTTCTTACCCTCCAAAATAGAGTTCACAATTAACGATGTTAGTAAATTTCTGTTTCCCTTCGTAACAATAAAACTATCGGCCCTGATGGAATACGAGGCCACTTTTTATTTATCTTAAGGGATGTTATTGCCTGGCCACTTCTCCTGTTATGTCAAAAATCTTTTGATTCCGGGTTCTTCCCTTCCTCACTTAAGCTTGGCTCTATTTCTCCGATACTTAAAACTGGTGACCCGTCTCAAGTAACAAATTACCGTCCAATAACCACGCTTTCTCACATATCTAAACTATTTGTAGCTATTGTTATTAATTCTATCCATCCTATCCTCAATAATATTTTATGTGATGAACAACATGAATTTCGTCCAGGTCGTTCAACAATCACTTGTAACCTCATTCTCTCATCCTACATATATGATTCCTTTAATCAGCAAAGTCAAGTAGATGTCATTTACAAGGACTTCTCGAAGGAATTCGATAAAGTAGATCACAGTATTCTAATTAAAACTCTGGATAATCTAGGTATTGGTAATCCTCTACTGTCTTGGGTTTACTCTTATTTATCCGATCGTCAATATTTTGTTTGAACTTCCCATTCAACCTCCGATATCTTCTATACATCTTCTGGAGTACCCCAAGTTGCAATTCTTTCTCCTCTTCTGTTTGCTCTTTTCATCAATTCCGCACCATCAGTCCTCCGTTATTCCAAATTACTGATATTTGCTGACGACATGAAACTTTTCCTCCGTATCAATTCCTTATCTGACTGCCACTTACTACAAGAAGATCTATTGCAGTTTACTAACTAAAGTGAATCCCTTGACTTCTCTCTCAATATTAATAAATGCTCAATCATGTCATTCTTCCGGCGTAATTCTCACATTGCGTTTCCTTATTCTATTAATAACATTCCTTTAATTCGTCCCTCTGAGTCAATACGTGATCTTGGGTTTATTCTCACTCACAATCTTTCTCCAAACAAACACATCCAACATATTTCCTGTAAAGCCCTCAAACTCCTTAGTTTCATCTCCCGTATTACTCAAGAATTTAAATTATCTAACCCTCTTAAAACTCTCTACACCTCCCTTGTTCGCCCCATCCTAGAATACGGCTCTGTTCTTTGGAATCCCCAAACGGCTTGCGCAAGCGAATCACTAGAAAGGATTTAAAGAAAATTTTTAAACCTGGCAGCATACCGCCTCAATATCCCTCATACTGCTCATGATTACTCCCCTGTCCTATTAACCCTACATCTCTCCAGCCTTGCCGATCGACTCCACAATTCAAACCTCTCCTTCTTAAATAACCTCCTATCCAACAAAATAGACTCTAGCTAACTTCTTAGCCTTCTAAGATTTAAAATCCCTCTTCGCACCACCCGTTCTTACACTACATTCCTCATCCTCCATACCCCTTCTCATTTCCTTGACTCCGCCCCAATGATTCGCCTTATGTGGTTAGCTAATAATGATCCAGTTTTCGATTTATTTTAATTAATCCTCGTTTATGTTGTTTTAATTTATATTTTGTATCAATGTATATTTAAATATTCTTTTGTTACTTGTTTCTCACTAATTTTTATGAATGATGTTTTTGATGACTGTTATGTATATTTTGGGCTTTGCCTGTATAAAATGTTTTAAATAAATAAATATTTCACCTACTTTTTTTGTGAAAGTTTTCAATAAAAAAAAATAATGAATTTATTGTCATAACTTTTAGCTAGTATGGAAAATATTAGGTGGTGTTGGCATAAGGTGGTTGAAAGAACTTTTAAATAAAATCTAATAAGAAGGGAAAATTCCAAATGAATGGAGGGATAGTATTGTGGTGCCGATATTTAAAGGTAAAGGTGACATGTGTGGAAATTATAGAGGCATAAAGCTTACGAGTCATAGTATGAAAATTTGGGAAAAGGTAATAGATAAGAGAATAAGAAATGAGACATCGGTATTTAAAAACCAGTTTGAATTTATGCCTGGTAAGTCAGCAATGGAGCCAGTATTTTGTGTAAGGCAACTAAAAGAAAAGTTTAAAGAAAAGAAGAAAAAGCTGTGTATGGTATTTATAGATTTTGAGAAATCGTATGATAGAGTACCGAGAGAGGTTTTAAAGTGGGCATTAATGAGAAAAGGAGTCCCGAAAAGGTACATTAATATAATAAAAGATATATATGATGGCACTTGTACTAGGGTAAAAAGCGTAGGAGGAGTATCGGAAGACTTTCGGGTAAGAGTAGGAGTGCACCAAGGTTCTGCTTTAAGGTTATTCTCTATAGTAATGGAATAAATTACTAGAGAAATACAAGGAAAGGTGCCGTGGTGCATGTTGTTTGCTGACGATATAGTGTTAATAGGAGGAAATTAATTAAAGGCTACAGGTGTGGAGATCAGCTCTTGAAGAAAAGGGTTCAAGAATAAGTAGAAGTAAGACAGAGTATATAGAGTACGAGTTTGACAAAAGAGAACACGAGGTAGGTGAAATGAGGAGGTCAGTGACTATAGGTGAGGATGTGATTGGAGAGGTGGAGAGTTTTAAGTATTTAGGGTCATTTGTGCAAAAAAGTGGTGGTATTGACGAGGATGTAAGACACAGAATTAAGTGTGGGTGGTTGAAGTGGAGAGAAGCGTCTGGCGTCTTATGCGATAGAAGAATTCCAATGAGGCTGAAAGGTAAATTCTACAAGACTGTAGTGAGGCCAACTATGATGTATGATTCAGAGTGCTAGACGGATGAGAATGCTTAGATGGATGAGTGGAGTGACTAGAGAATTAGGATAAGGAACGAGTATATAAGAGGGAGTATAGGTGTAGCGTCAATCGATGATAAGATTAGAGAATATAGATTTAGATAGTTTGGTCATGTAATGAGGAGAGAAGAATCGGAAGCTGTGAGAACAGTTATAGAAATTAATGTTGAAGGAAGAAGAGGTAGAGGAAGACCAAAAAAGAGATGGAAGGATACTATTGAATGCGATATGAGGACAGCTGATGTGAGCGTAGAGATGTGGGAGATCGTGTCAAGTGAAAGTTTAGGATAAGGGTGGCCGACCTCAAGTAGTTGGGATTAAGGCGAGGAAGAAAAAGAAGAAGAAAAAGATTGCCATAACTTTTAGCTCAACTTGAAATTGACATTATTAAATTAAATAAAATGGTATTGTTAAGATTAATATAGTCAGAAAATTTTATAACTACTATTTACGGTAAATTTAACAGAAAAACTTAATATTTTTTTGTATTTTTATCGTAATAAATCACTTAAATAGAAATCATTTCTAATAAAATTTTGGCGTTAAAAAAAATTCTACAATAATTGTAATATTTTTACATAATTGTAATTATTGAAATATGTAGAACTGTATTCATTTTAATGATTTACTTTAACTAAAAAACCAATAAAAAAAGTTGTTAAGAAGATCTATTCAATTGAGCGTATTATAAAATTTGATAATAATCGTAAAAATCGATTATTAAATTCAGGTAAAACTAAAAATCATTTTTTTTTTTTAAGATTTATATTTTAAACAGCAATATGTTTCAAAAAAATTTTGAATGTTATAGACTGGTAGTAGCACACACAAATAGAGTTAAAAAATTAACAGATTACAAAGTAAAACTATTTACTTTTTGTAGTTGAATGCTTTTATTATATCAAATCTAATTCGACAATAAATACTTTAAAAATATCAGAAATTAATGATTTTAATTGTTTGTATGAGTAAAGCTGGTAAATCTAATTTTTATTTGATTAAGGTTTTTTTTTCATATTTTGAGGGTAATATCTTCAACTAAATAAGAATTATAGTCATTGACATGTCGTTGAAGAAAAAAGTAGGTCAAGTGTGGGTTGGGAAAATAAATCGCTCCCATAAAAAAACCACATAATAAAATAATATTAACATGAATAAGAAATTTCTTCTCGCGAGGGGAGACTACAGTGATGAGATTCTTGATATTTATTGAAGTTATTGAATCTAAACGAAATAAATATCAAATGATTTGAAATTTTTTTTCTAACTTAAAACAAAATACAAAATATTAATTGTCACAGGCGAATTCGAACCTCGTATTTTAATTAATTTTCAAAAATTAAGTTAAATAAATTTAACTTTATAAAAATTACATTGAAAAAGCTTAATTTGTGTCCAAAAGTTGTTTTTTAGAATCCCCCTGTGGGCAGGTTTAGAGTCAGATTTCCAAAAAATTTATATTAAACGAAAGAAAATATCTAAGGTTTTAATATAAAAAAAATTATTTTAATTTGTTCATTTTTCAAAAAATTGTGGCAGTTTTTTTAAGTATTGAAATATTTCATGTTAAACAGTGGTTTTTACATAAAAATTACATTTTTCGTTTAATTCGACGGCCATTTTCTTACAGAAGAAAAGGTGTAGGGACAAAATTTTTTTTTTGAACTTATAATTTTTATTGTAAGCTTTAACTTGACATATGTTTAAACAACATATTTTATTGTTTAAACAATAGTATTTCCAGAACTTTTTCAAAATGTAAGTTGAAAAATTCTACTTTTTATACGTATGTTTCAAGTATTAAACCCCTCTGTATACTCAGAAAAAGAACGTTCCATGCTTTAATGAAATTGAATCATTGTTTTTAAGCCTAGCGTGTTACTTAGTAATAACCCTGAAATTAATTAATATATATAAAGGAAAATAGTCCAATTTTTAAAAAAGTATGTTAAATGAAAGTAATAAACATATAGTGATTATAAAATAAAAATTGTGAATTTAAGTTGAAAATATAAAATCGAAAGTCGAAAATTTTAGCACAAAAATAGCATGTTTTTAATCATTGCAGTTATTTGCACACAGAAGATAAATCGTAAGAAACATTTTTTTTAGCTTCGATGCGAAGCTGAGAAGGTATTGATTTTACTATGATGTGTTTTTTTTTGTGTCTGTTACCATTTTTTCTCAGATTTCACCGAACCGATTTCTTTCAATGATATGTCAAAAGATCACAAATCGTATCTAGTCGAAGACATTACCCTCAAAAATTGAAAAAATTTCCCTCGTTCCACGTAAATGAGGGAAACCTCCAAAAAAATTACAAATTTAAAAATCGCTAATTTTCGAAATTTTTTCAATTTTTTTTCTTAAAATTGCCATAACTTTTTTAAAAATAACCGAATCAATATAATTTTTTTTTATATAGACGCATGATATCATTACTTTTCATTTAGTATATTTTTTTTTATAAATTTGACTCTTTACCTGCCCACAGAGGATTTAAAATGACAACTTTTTCACAAAACATTAACTTTTTCAACTTGACTTTTGAAAGTGTTCCGGAAATACTGCGTCCTTTAAACATATATCAAATTAAAGCTTATTTTATGTGCTATAAAATTAAAAAAAAAAATTTGTCCCGACACTTTATCTTCTGCATGTAATCGGCTGCCGTAGTTAAAAAAACGCTATTTTTGTGTTAAAATTTTCGATTTTAAATTTTCAACTTAAAAATGCTATAACTTTTCGAAAAATGTATTGAAAGTAATAAACATATAATGATTATAAAATAAAAATTGTGAATTTAAGTTGAAAATATAAAATCGAAAGTCGAAAATTTTAGCACAAAAATAGCATGTTTTTAATCATAGCAGTTATTTGCACACAGAAGATAAATCGTAAGAAAAATGTTTTTTTTCATTTTATATTACATGAAAAAAGCTTTAATTTGATATATGTTTAAAGGACGCAGTATTTCCGGAACAATTTCGAAGTTAAGTTGAAAAAGCTAGTTTTTATAAAAAGATTTGAGTACACTCAAATTCTGAAGTATTAAATTAAATGTAAAAACGCATTCATTAATTAATTATATAAAAGAATTGAACTTATACTTCTAATAAAAATAAAATGTTAATTTATTACTCATCAAACTATACATTTTCATTTCTTTGTATTAAGTAGAAAAATATATAACAATTGTTAACATACATTTTTCCTTACGATGTGCTATCCTAATCTAAAATTAGATTAGAGTATCGGGCATCAATATAATGACATTTTCAAATTAAAATTGAGTAAGATAAAACTGTTAATGTAACGCCTATAGCATTTTATGAACGACTAATAGAAATAACTACATTATTCGAGACATAAAAAAAATGTTAAAAGATTCACGACGACCCTTATGTCAATAAATTAAATTTGGATGTGGAGATATTCCTCTATATAATGATTTGATTATTAAAGTTAATTTGTATTTCAGCATATGTACCGAGTAATCCTTTAACGATGTTTCACACAATATCTTCAAAAGTATGAATTGAAATAACTTTTTTTTATTAAATTAAAAATTTATATATATATATATTTATAACACTTACCCTATGAATGTAAAGCTTAAATTTTTTCAAAAGGAAATGTATGTATAAATCTGATTGAGCTATTAGTAAATTATCTACAAAAGACTGATCGATAACAAATTTTAATTATTATTGCAGAAGTTGTAAGTACAAAAGTGAGTGGAGATCCACCTGATGATTAATATAACTTTACTTGTGCCTCTACATCAGTTATTATTTTAAATTATAAACACAAATTTGCATTAACCAAAATACTGTTTCAAGGTATAATCCAACCGATTCATTATCAAAACAAAATTTGAGAGTAATTTTTAACGTTATTGAAAAGTTCTTTAGTAAACTTTCAATTTTTAAGTTACCAATGGGAATTTTTATTTTGTTCAACTTTGAGGCTAAATAATTTTTTATACGAACAACATAAATACTTAAACTCTTATATAAAAAACCATTTAAAAATTTAATGTAATCAAATCACAACTATAATAATGCATTTACAAACAAAAGCGTTTAGAATTATAATTTTTACACGATAAAGATGCTATATTAGATTATATATGCTTTATACAAAATTTTCACATCACAACATGTCTAGGCAATTTATGCCATTGATTGCATGGTTGTTTTTTGGACGGATACTCGATAAAAATATTCAGGCTTGACCAATCTTCTATTAAAATAGAAGAGACACGTGAAATAATAATAAATATAAAAGTATAAAAAAGAAAGATAATTTTTATAAAGTACTATTAAATGATCCTCAAGTAAAAGTTATTTCATTATTGCCACAAGACACATTTTGATAAAACTATACTTTCTCAGCAAAATGATAGATTCTAATACATAGAAATCCCATGAACTATAATCAAAGAATAGTAGTCTCCATTAAAGACAACATATTAAATGTACAGTGTAAACGTGTCTATAAATTAGACAATATTAATTTAGTCATTAATATAAATGACTAAAAATCATCTCTTTAATTACAGATAAACATAAAAAAATATAAAAAAAAAAAAACTTAAAAAATCTTTGTAATAAACAAATTAAAACTTATTATTTATATAATATTATATTACCTATCTATATTTCTAATAAGTTTATATTTCTTAAAAACTAAAATATTAATAAATATAAACTATTAATTATTGGTAATTAAATTCGTATTGTGTTAACAATGAATAACAAAACGTGTATTAACTTTTATAATACACAAATTAAACAATCTATACTTAAATATACGGTATAGTTTAACGAGAACGATAAGTAATCGTTCAAAGAAAATTTTTGTTTTTATAGGAGACAAGCGATAAAAAATGTTATTCTCAAAATATGTTGGGGATGAGCTTGATTGTAATTGCCAGCAATATGGTCAAGAACATTGTACTTCCTATAGTCGCAGCAGCGTTGCAGAAATCTTGTTCGCAGGTACTACAATATTCAATACGAACATTAGGTTTAGTATTAATGTGGCAAGGACCATCGTCGTTTGAGCTGTCTGTTGACCAAGCACACGACCTCACAATCACTACTTCGCCAGTGTCCACTGTAAAATAATAATGAGACATTAAAAACCAAAATAAAAATTCCAATTAATAAATAAATTAATAGGGTTCGTCAACGATATTTTGGATATTGATATCATACTGAATTTCAACGACATATCGCAAAATTGAAAAAAAAATTGTATTGTATGAAAAAATAATTGATATCGAAAAAAAAATTATATTCAAAAATTAAATTTTAATTTTAAATGTGTTCACCGTTTTTTTATTTTCAAGAATACCGTTAAGTTATCATTGCTGTAAAAATCAGACTACGGTATACCAACCAAATCAGATAATGATATTAATATCAAAATAATATAGTAAATAGCTACATCTCATAACGATAATTAAATATTTTCAAATTAATTTTTAATATGAAGAAATAAGTTTTTTTATTTTTGGTACAAAACTTTATCATTATACAGAGTGTTCAGTAAATTAAGAAATAGGTAAATTGTTACAAACATTGAGAACGATGGAATACAGTTTCCTTACTTACTGAACACCCTTCTATATATTGTTTATATTAAATGAACGAAATTGTTCTTTATTGAATAATAGTATTACAGTTTCAGTATTTTAGTTTTAAATAATAATAATAAAATATTTTAAGTACTGTTTATATTTTTTTATTGCATTGTCATAACTGAAAACAAAATTTGTTCTTTTCAAAAATAAAATTTAAACTTTAAAAAATGAAACATCATCACCATCATCTAAGATTTTTTATTTTTGGCCTAATTATTTCATTTTATTTTTCAGATTGAGTTTTAACCAGTTGTGTGCTGTAAATTTTCTAATTTTTTAATTTCTTTCTCGAATTTTCCTCATACATTGCTTTGTTATATACTTCGTTTACAAATAGGAGTAACAACAATGTCATAATAAAAAACCTAATCTAAGAATGTGATTTTGTATCAATAAATATCATTTTTCGTCCTATCTCAATTTTATATTTAATAATATACTTTAATACAAAAAAATATTAATAAGATTTTCACGAACTGTTTTTGGCCTAATATCAAATATTTTATCACAAAGTGACCAAAATTCAAATAATATTTTTTTTTCGTTTATTTTAAAAATAATTGATAACGCGGAAAAAATTAAAATAGTCAGCGATAACGATATCGTTAACAAACTCTATAAATGAATATACTTAAACTATAATAATTATACGCAACGTTTATAAGAAATATATTTAAAATTTTTCTACAAAATATTTGAAGTCTAATTATTTAATATTAAAGAAGACATTTTTTTAACACTCATAATAATATAAAGTGCAATTGTATTATAGAATTTTAAGATATGACATAATCGTGCCCACTATAACTATGTACTAAATATTACTGAATTTTTTTTTTTTTTTTGGTCAACAAAAACACGTTATATAGAAGATATATGTAACTTAAAACTATATTCAAAGTATTGACTAAATAGTACAAAATAATGTATAGAATTTCAAAGATGTTTCACATAGATTTGTATGTAAAACGCCAAAGTTATTTGAGATTGTTAGTATATTGTAAAATTTACACTTATTTTAAATTTTAATCTAAATAGCCACAAAATATATAGCTAGATATTTTAGTGTTTTACAGTCGCTATATGAGAATCCTTATAGTTTCTTCAACAAGTTACAATGCTCAATATTTATTAACAAAAAGTAAATCAAATAATTTTTTAATGTTTCGATTATTTAGTATGTCTTGTTCCATAATTATATTTAAAAATTTATAGAAAAGAAAATATAGAATAAACAAATACTTATGAATATCAATTAAACCCAAGTACTAATAAAAAGAAATATTCTACTTTTGTATCTCATAAAAATAATAATTTTATAAACTAATAATTTTTAGTTACTTTTGATAAACTATTTGCACGGCCCAGTTTCTATTTTGATCATACTAGTCCAAGGTCTCGCCTCCCAAAAAAATCGATCAATATGTGGTACAGTATTATTATATTTTTAAGAGATCCTATTTCCTGATGAAGGTTGACATTCGTACACGCATCAGTGAATTATTTGACGACTTGGTCAAGTGGTTTCTTATTTTCAAACAGTCGTTAAAATAACATATCAAAACATTAATGAAAAAAATACTACTGTTTTAAAATGAACATTTTTTTTAACAAATTTTTTTTTATTCAGAAGATTAAGGTCACGGTCTAAATAAAGTAAACAAAAGACACTGTCAATTTGGTAATATAACACAAGGAAAAATAAACAGATTTTCTAGTCAGATTAAAATAGTGTTATATGTTCTAAGTGTTACAAAAATCAAAATTTCTTTTTCATACTTGAAAAATAATAATACAAAAAAATAATAATTATTTTTTTTTATATAAAGAAATAAAATATTTTGAGTAGTTCTCGTTCGTGATTGAAAAATTATCTTTTACCATTAAAAATAAAACATTTATTCTTCAAAATATTAAAAAAATTAAATTGATTATTAATAGTTTTGTTACAAAGATGCGGATCTTTGTAAAGACTGTTATTTGTACCTGACGTTTAAAAAAATTGCTCTATCATTTATTAACAAGCCGTTATAAAATAAATGTATTGTTATGTTTTTGTATCAGAATTATAATATTGCACCGTAAGTATGATAAAAATAATAGATTCACCAATCAGACTTAGAACAGAGGAGTCGAGCGTTCATAGAAAAGTACTTAAGAAGCGTGTGAATAGAGTCTCGCTCTGTCGCCGGGAAATCGCTCCTCTGTCAGATTTTCTTCAGTAAAGAATCCGTGAAATCAACCGACAATACCGTTGAAAAGACTATCTGTAGCGAATCGATTGGTCATTTATAAAAAAAATGAAGAAATCATAATAAGCGCATACAACAAAAACAGTAGTCAGCAGGTGCAAAAATATCATGATATCCATCGATAGACCAGATAACTATACAAACTGCAGCGTTGGAAAAAATGAAGAGAAAAGACATGGGTAAGAGATCGGAAAGGTGAAAGCGCCTCAGTATTTTCGGAGCTTCACGAACTCGATAAAAGGAAATACTAGCAATTATCAATTCTAATCAATGCCAATCAAAGCAAAATAATAATCGTAAAATAATATTTTATAATAGTCATCAATTAATAGCTTCTGTGTCATCCGTTTCCGTTCATTAGTGAATAGAAATTTATTCACGTCGATGATTGCTATTCTCAAACTTAAATTTATTTAATAACTAAAAGTTCTATAATTTAAATAACTACAGAAGTGATAACAATTTCTTCCTAAAAATAAATTGCAAAACGTCACAAGTATAATTTCGGAAAATTCTAAGTGGTTAAAATGAAGTCAAGATATTGCTTTTGTTCACAAAATATAACACATCAAATTTTAGCTACGAGTTTGATGTTGACGGCAGTTTCGGAAACATAACACTTATTTAAATTTTAAGTATAGACATTGTAATTCATGAATGAATGTTTTTCTAGTACTGAAATATAACAAACATAATTACATTTTTTAACAAGATAACGAACAAGTATAAGATAGTTTAATAATTCTTGCTACTTGCATTAATAAGTATTAATACTAGAGTAGTACTTTTGTCGTTGTTACACCGGAACGTACTAATTGACCACTGTTAGTCAACACATATCTAGGTCATAATTCTCTTGAAAATATAATATAATGTTAAAATTAAAAAAGCCTATTCATCAAAGTCAATCTCGCGGGGAGGTATATGAGAGATAGAAACCCCTTTATGATGAAAATTAATATATGGTAAATATGTGTTTTGGCAGGGATAATAAAAAAGTGTCTTATGTATATTTCCTCTTAACCTTGAAAACGCCATTGCTAATTCATTGACAAATTAAGCCTAATTCAAACACTTGTATTTTGAAAAATGAAAGTATCAAGAAATTAAAATAAATAACTTAGGATTTTTTGTATCTTATTAAAATAAAAATAAATCACGAATATATGAAATGCATACATAATACAATAATTAGACCGAATAAGTTTTATTTTCTAAATAAAATGATAAATTAAGTGATTGGTTGTTAACTAGGCTTTAGTGCATGACATTCATCCATAGAGTACGACTTTTTTTTAATCAAATTGACGTGCACTATTAGACAGACTAAGCACCTGAACGAAAAACATCTGAGAATTACACAATGTTTAGCGCATACATCACTGAGCATGTTAAATCGAAAATTATTACTTAATGATTTAAGAAAAGTAACTTTGCAATTTACAATATCGATGATTATCAACAATCAATGAACACAGTAACGTATTTTTTTAGTTGTAAATTAAATCCTAATTAATTGCACAATAAAATTATTTTTAATAATTTAATAGGGTTTTCTTACACGTTTTTTCAATTGGTATTTAAATAATGCTAACGTAGATTTTGAAAATAATACTTTCTAAGTTATTTTGCATGTAATAATCATAATATTATTATAGACAAAAAAAGTAGTTTTTGTGAAAATTGGATGTAAAAATAATTCTAATTACAATATTTTTGACAACCAAAATTGATTGCACGGTGTAAACTAATATCACAAGTTACAATGAATTATAATAATAATATAAATATAGTCATGAGTAAATAAACTGTCAAATATTATCTTGACATTTTTTAAGCTATAATTTTTTTGATGTCCTTCAATTAAAATATGATATTTGATATGTTATAACCTGTATGGTAAAAGTAATTAACTTCGTTATTTGAATAACATTTATGATTTTTTTTTCAATGTAAGCAAAATTTCATTTTCGCCTCACTGTTGGATAAAAAATCACATAAAAATATCTTTGACGTTGAAGATTAAATAGGTTTTCAAATTATATAGATATTCATTTAAATCACTTGAGCCTTAAATCGCTTTCAGTTAAACCAACCATTAAAAATGTGAAATTATATAATTATTATTTAAAAAACAATTAAAGAAAAAAATTTAAATGAGTATACATCTTATATGTTATTTCATTAAAGACAAACAATTCAATTTTTTTGTAAAGTATAATAAATATGAAATATTAAATATACATAACATAACATAACAGAATAAATAACATTAAGATTGTACATACAAAATTATAATAATAACCAAATCTTATTTTGAGATTTTTAAACATGTGACTAAATTTTCCGACGATTTAGTGTTAAATTTATCAATTACAAAAAAGCTACTAACATATTAGTAACTTACAAAACATTATAATTATTGTTCGTTTTTAGTGGAAAAATGCTTTCGTTATGAAAATAATTACAAAAATTAAAACACAGTGTGCGGGCTCCTAACAAATTCGAATTTCCGGTTTGTTTCATTGCATATGTTACTTGTTTTGTTCTTTGCAAGACCGTCAGACTACCAAAGAATGTGACGCACTGTGGCCGTAAGGTTAATAATAATTAAATGAACAATTATTAAATGGTGGCTATTGTATTCTACTTGTCTGTTTATACACCGAAAACGCAGTAAAGACTAATAAACCATCGTCGGCATTTTTATTAGAAAAAAGTACCCTAACCCAAATCTTACGTGATTAATACACAGTAGAAATAAAAAAAAATCGTTTTATATTGTGTTAGAAGTTAAAAAAACAATCTTACACTATTATTTGACGCATTTTACATTGCAACGAAATCAATTAAAGAAATTTTCATTAAAATTTGAAGATGAGAAAAAATATACTTTGATGTGTACATCAAACCTTTATTAAATAATTGGTTTAGAAGACAATAAATCTATTTTATATACTTTGAATGAGTTTAAATATACTTAGAATTGAAATTACTTTAAATTGTATCTATTTTACAATAGCACAACATATGAGTACATCAACAAAAATAAATTTAAGTACATATTACGTTGTATGTTGTTAAAACAATTCTATCTGATGCATGCAATGGGTAAATAGATTGTTTACAATATCAGGTGTGTTGAAGAATTATCTAAATTTTATCTCGACAGGCGAGAAGACCTTAAGATGTAACGAAAGGTTGAGTTTTTTTAGTAATATGATAAATCTAGTATCGTTGATAACAATGTAAGGATACTAAAATTACAATCGCAACGTGAAAGATTTTAACTGCCTGGAAGAATTTAAGGTCATTTAACTAAGTGTTAAATTTATCAGTCTGTAACTTACTGTATCTATGCACTTGTTTCTTGCAGACGGGATATAGAAATGCTGAATGAGATGCTCTGCTACAGTCACCCAAAGCGTTTGTTGAAATATTAAATGGGTTTCCACATCGAGGATCTGTATCGGAAGAGCATACCCAACAGTGAATGGCTTCTCCTATTAATAATAATTAAAAAATTATTTTTTAAAATTTAAAATATGTATTGCACATGAAAAAATGCTCTTGCTTCGTTTAGTTACAAGTGCACAATTTAAACATAGGTATAATAATTTACCACAGTCTGGAAGTAGAGCAATACAGACGAAAGCCACAATGGCCAACATGTGTTGACAGCGTATCATGATTATCAATTAAAATGAACTAGAATTAAGCCAGCCACTTATATTACAGAAGACGAAAACAAAATATAATATTTTTATTACAACACTATGACACGTTATTAGCGTTCGGCACAAGACTGGTTGATTGGCGGTACAGTAAACACAATAGCGGAGATCATCGAGAGCGCAGAGGAAAGCTTTTTGACGGTTCCCCTCTACCCTACGCCTACCACTGACCCCTTTGTCACCGTCGACAACGCTTGTTACGAACGAGTGTTGTACTGCACGTTGCATGCACTCCATTCTAAAATACAATATTTACTAATGTTGGATAATTCTTTTATGAACGGCTCATGTACTTATGTGGTTTACGCGGTTAAACCATAATCTTGTTCACCTACAGGTTGGTCCTCGAAAATTCGAATAGTCAGTAACCACTAAATCGTATGCCTTGAAATTGTTTATTCACTGCGTCTGGCTAAAACGTAGCCAACAAGTTTATGTTCAACTTAATGAGAAGCCAAATGTTTACTTAAATGTGTTAAGATATAAAGTTCATCTAAGTGTACAAACACAATAATCATTATGCTAATCGTTGATTAATTTTTGTATTTTTCAAATTTATTTGATATTTAACATATTATTTTAAAATTTAGAAACAATTTTTGGCGGAGGGGTTACAATCCATCCCATTTGGATATGCCACTGTACCTTTGACAAACTCATAAAGTACCGTGTAATGTAATTTTTAAATAAAATACCATTTTAATGGGTATGCATTGCAATATTTTTATGTAGTATTTTGTTGATTGAACTTGATATACAAAATGCCAAGTGTCTATAGTATGTATGGTTATCCCCTGTTTAGTAGTTACAATGTGTTGAAGCATCTGTATTAACATAACTAGACTGGTGTAATTTGTAATCATAATAATATATATATTTATAAGTAAACATGATTACGATTAATAATTGTTGTCAAGTTAGAATTGTACATATTTAAGTACCTAAACATAACATGTTTTATGTTATATGTAGACGTTTAATTAATGTGTTTAAAAGAAGACTTATTGCTTATAGCTTATTATGTACTCCTTTTCTCATTAATAGTATCTTTATATCACGGGGTTAAGACAAACTACTGTTAATGAAAAAAAACTGAAATTAGCCTCCTCTCTACAGGGAGGCGCCAATTTTATTAAAAATTTAATACACCCTAAGATTCAATACAGATTGACGTGGTTAAAAAAAATTTTCTCATAGAATTAAACTCAAAAATAAATTATTTTTAGCTTCTTCTTTCTAGGAGAATCAAAATAATTGAATCATAGGTCTTTTAGAAATCATCTCGATGCACTAAAAAGTGTACAGGAATGTGTAATGTTGTATTTACTGCTAAGTGATACTTTGTAAATGGTTCACAGTTCTGGTACGTTAGGAATACGGGCAATTATAATTCATGATGGTATAATAATAATAATTATTGACCCTGCCCAATTGAACCCAATCGTGAATAAGCTTCCGTAGATCCCGGAGGTGCGTCTTTTGAGTGATATTATGAGAACTGTTTAACTTTCATTAGTATTTCTTTAATTAAAAAACATGTATAAGGACAGATTAATCAGTAATTTATGTTTTATGTGACAATGCCACGTTGTGACATTGAAGGTATTAATTCTTCGTTGTTTGTTTTTCTTCGAAAAATGTCGTATTAAGTAATATTGAAATTGTGCACGTGGGTAGAAGTAATATTATAGACATTTTTAAGATGAGATTAAAAATATCTAACAATAAAAAATTAGATGCAAGTGAATATCTTGTACATAAAATATTCCTAAACTAAATTAACTGAGTAGATTTCATGATAATTATTACTTTTTTATTTCCAAGTGATTTATTGACTACAACATTCTTCTTACTTAGACGCTTTGTTTTGTTCGTTTGGAAACGGAAGTGATAACAAGGATGCAACTGATGGCCCGTGACAACATACTTTTTTTTGCTCTGTTTTTGATTAACGTTACGTTTTCATACGTCTAAGGAAAATTTCCTACCAGAGTGTAATTTTTAAAATCTACCGGACGTGAGATAAGCGTTTTCAATGCGAAAAAACATGGCAATAATATTTGTTTTACCAACAATTTTAGTCAATTGTTATTGGTTTCAGATAGTTTTACTTGCATCAATAAATAATTGACATTTCTACTGCGTAGTACGAACTTTTTTAGAATAGTTAAAAAGCATAGAAAAAATGTCTAATACTAAAACTAAGAACTATTGAATGATTTTATTAAAGATTTAAACATCAAAGATCTAAATTATTTGTATCGCCTTCCATCCTTATTAATCAGTTAATCATTTCTATTATTTTAATTTATAAGAAAAGATATAAAGTAAATGAAAAATAATTACACCACCCAAAAATTTGGCGCCACTAAAGCAACTCTCATTCAAATCTTCAACGTGTTTGCCTTTGTAGGGTACTAAACCATTTTATTTACTTTTAAGTAAAGTTAATAAGACTTAGAAGTTTGATTAACTAAATTATTGTTAATGTGATAAAATATAACTAATAATTATTTAATATAAATAGTTGTTAAAATGTTGGATAGGTAAAACGATTGATTAACAATAATTTGAAGTTGTACTATTATTTCAAAGCAACTGTCACACTTAGACTGTCCTTGTGCTTTGGTTTCGATTAAACTATGGAATAAACTCTACAATATAGAAATAATGCTTTACTTTTATTTGATTTCATCGGACAAATGTTAAAATAATATTATTGGCAAGTCCTTGGTCACACTTAAATTATTTTTTATTGTCCTTTCATCATGTTGACCACATGACGTGTTTACGTGAAAATCTTCAAGAAAATTAATTAGTTGTCTAACAATGAAATGAAGTTTTATTTAATATTTAGTTCAGTAAAAAGTATAAAATTTTTTTAAATTGCAAGTATAACTCAAATAATTATTGATAAAAATAAATTAAAATATTTTTTATACATATCCATTTCAAGTGTTTCGATAAAAAAGGGTTATCGTGTTTTATATTTGTTTCATTGGGTTACTAACTTGAGTCATCTAAACAGTTTATTGATTTATTGTATACAGGTTAAAAAAAAAAATTACATTAAAAATAAAACTATGTTTCAATAGTATAGGAATAGATTTGATATACAAAGTGTTCAATAAGTAAGGAACAAGTCAATTGTTAAAAACAATGAGAACAATAGAAACCCGTTTCCTTACTTACTAAATGCCAATATATTATTTGTATAGATTAAAATATTTTTATTTATAGTAAATAATGAAAACAATTAAACAAATTTTTTTATTACTTTTTAATTAATTTAAACAATTGACACCTATTTAGAATTTATCAATTTTTGAATTTTCTTAATTTTCAAATAGTTTTATTTTTGATTAGATTAATATAATTTGGATTCGATAATTTTTATAAAAGTTTATATGAAAATAATACATTTTTTCATTCATCCTGAATGTTTATAGATTAAACTTTAAGTTGTAAGCTATAAGTTTAATATTTTTAACGCTTTAAGATACTATAAATATGTGTAAATTGTATTGGCTTATAAGGAGATTATAATTAAATATAATAATATAAATAGTTAATTATAAGTTGAATTTTATGAACTTAATAATATTAAAAAAATTTATAGAGAATTAGCAGTTTTTAAATAATAAGTAGTTACAACTATAAGAGATAAAGTAACAAACGATGGCATCAATGGTCGGATACCATTACAACCATCGCTATCACAAATGTCACAATATTTAAGTATGTTCAAAAATGTTGCATCAATTACTTCCATTGTTTCACAAAATGAAGATTTTCTCTTAATACAGCCTCGATGTATCATATTATTATCATTGCCGCCTAAAAATATTATATATCAAAAATAATTTCGTAACTTCATAAATTTTAATGTTTTGCAACTGAACATAAAAATGATACAACAGAACTTCTGTTATAACATTTATTGAGTTTTTTATTTTATGATTTCAACTTTAATTTATTTATTAATAATTTTTATAAAAATCAGTAATGACGCATAATTTAAACATTTCTAAAAATCACACAAGTTATGTTCAATTTTTGATAATATCGATATTCTCTGATGGATGTGGAAATCAAATCCTGATTAAACTTAAGCAAATTACTGAAATTAAAGAATTTACTTTAAAAGAATAATTTATGAGTTAGTAGTTACCTATTATGTTTGAACATACTTTTATGTACTGTTTTGTAGCAAACCCATTCATCATCAAAGAAAATCTCGTTTTTTTTAGTCAAATTTATTATTGCATTATTAACAGACATTTCAACTTTATACATATCATACTTGAAATTTTCATTTGATGTGCCGTTTTTACAGTCTACATATACACTGTGGTTGGTTATTACATAAGAATCACGACAATGTAATTGTGAACAAACAATACATTTCAATGCTGTACCTTATAAAACAAATTATAACTTTACCAAAGAGATTATTATTATTTTTTTATATAAGATAAAACAGTAAAAATAAATATTCAATTAATAATTAATGTTAAAAAATATTGCAATCTAATACTAAAAATATGTATTATTAATATATTTATATTATAATTATTTAAATCTAAAATCTAAAATGGACAAAACTGCATAATTTTGCAATTCAACATTGTCTAACTGCCAATAATACGTGTTAATTTATGAAAAAAATTGTTATCAGGGGCGCAGTTATAACATATCACTTGCGTTACGCACAGTACGGTACAACCAGCTGATTAATTGGATCATTGTGTCCATCGCTCAGGTAGACACCATTTAGTTTAGTATCGACAAATCGTTATTATTTGTCCAACAAATAATTATTAGATTAAACTTCTGATACCCTAATATTGTTTTACATAAAATCATGGCTACTCTACGATAGTTACGACAAGAAACGCTTGATGTCTACTACACTCCTGGTACGGTTTGTCAATTTATTATTCAATGGCCGTGTCTATCATAAAGGTTTTTGTCTATTAAGTTGCCTATTTAACATCCCTAAAATGTAGTTGTGGTATTCATTAAATTTTTTTGTTAAAAAATAATCTACTAGAGTTGAATACTGGACAGAAATAACATGCTATATGATAGTTTTTCGAATTCCATTATTTACCATAAAATATTGTTGTACTGAAATATCTTGATTTATTTTTGAAATTAAAATAAATTCCAAAATAATCCAATCACTCGTAGTAACTGTGTAATAATACGAGACACGGTAATTACTCAATTAATTTAGACACTTATATTGTTTTACTTTGACATTATAAAATTTTCAAATTGTCCTATTGCAAGTTATTCCCGCCCAAGCTTTAATTGACTTTATAATCACACTTGAATATATAATTGAAAATCATACATTTTCCCTTAGAACTGAAAAAAATATGAAAAAATTAAAGTTTTGAAAATATTTTGATTAAGTTGAATTTTTGTCGGGAATAATTGAGATATAATTTCACAATATAGCTTTATTTAATTTCTGGAAAATATTACAATTTTAAAACTATTTAAAAAACTTTAATTTACGATTTTATAGAAGAAAAATTTTTAAATCTTATAAATTATTAAATTGTAATTCTTAATGAATCTGAAAAAACTAAAATCTTTTTTTATAAATTAGTAATTTTCTTATAATTCTCATTTATAAATACTAATAACGAATTTAATACACAAAACTGTCAAATAAGATTAAATTTGTTAGTACAAAGATAAAATAATTTATATATACTTGATTTAGGAACAGTAATTAGATACATCAGTAATAATACTTTAGGGTAAATCCATATCAAATCATCCAAAGTCGTTGCGCGACCACTTTATTTTTTTTTGAAATTTTACACACAAGTTGTCTAGTATATAAGAAGAAAATATTAAAAAAAAAAAATTAAAAAAGTTTTACGAAAATGTATTTATGACTTATCAAAAGTTTTAAATTATGAAATACTTGTAATTCGTAAAAATATCCTTATGATAACAGTATTTATATTTAAGACTTGAAACTTTCATTGTTTTTTTTTTATGTGATACTCTAACATATTCCATAATTACCAACACGTTTTTTAACTTTTAAGTTGGAAAATTTTGTTTTCTAAATTGAGCTTTTTTTACAAAATAATGTAATTTTCAAAGATCAAATTGACTATGAAAAAACATTTTTTTTTAATTAATTTTTTTTTCTAAATATTAACGTACACTCATAGTAATATGTAATTGTGTTTTGAAACATTTTACTCTCACCGTTTTTTATTGGGACATATTTAAAAATGCTCGAATTTCTAAAAAATCAATTTTTAAGCTTTTTTATTTTAATTTTTCTCTGGTGGAACAAAATATTTTAATATGATTTTTTCACACAATATAGTACTATGTATGTAGTTTCTATGAAAAAAATTTCAAGTTTGATATTTGACCAAAACTTACCAAAAATTAACTTTCAAAAATACGTTTTTTTTTTTAAGTTTAAGAAAAATCTAGGTTTTTCGAATACTTAAAAAACTTTCTGTATTTCCATTACTTAGTTTTTGTGTCTTTATAGGTATATAAATATATATATGTATAAATTCCTCAATATATTGAGTACATGAAAAATGTATTAATGATCAATTAAAAAAATAAATAAATTATAGATGTATTTGTATTTATAATTAATAAAAATAAAAATACAATAATATATGAAAAGAATGAGAAAAAATATATTAAACAGTTGTGATTATCACTTAGAACATTTAATGTCTTGAAATATGGTTGAATTTGATATTTTAAAACATCTAATCAAATTTTTTTGTAGTGGTACTATACGGTGTATTTGTCTTGTGCCTGGTATTGTTTTCGCTTGTACAAATCTAGTTTCTAATAATTTTTTATTTTCTTGTACTTCACTTGAAGGAACAAAAAAAAATTTTATTCCTTTTATGTTTTCTTCACAATAATCATACATAGCTTCTGGAGTTAAAATATGATTTTTATTAACACATTGTAAACTATATTTGGTCACTAGCCTTTTTGTAGTACCACCTACACCATCACTAGCATTTTTTCCGTGGCACGAAGCAAAAAAATTCCATTCAGCTCCAATACCAAAATCTTCATCGTGATAAGAAATATTAATAAAATTTTTTTTATTTTTGTTTTGGCTAGCCGCACCATCGCTAAAGTATACAATTTTTTTTACAAAAGGGCATGTGTTAATTAAATCTTTAATAAAATATTTTTGAAACGATTAAAATGTTTCTGTAATGTGTTCTAAGTGATCACTTATAATACATAAACTCTTACATTTGATTTCATCATTAATCTTATAATAATAAACAAATGGATGAAGTGTAGCCTGCTTATTCACCCAATGAAAACTTTGAATCTCATCTTGTACTACAAAACTATAGTTTTCTGAAAAGTCTGCAACGACTAAACATTCTGTAGTAGTTAGATTTTCTTNTTTGCAACGACTAAACATTCTGCAGTAGTTAGATTTTCTTTAAGCTTTTTGAAATAATTGATTGAATTTTAGATGTATAGTGGTGTATTTTTAAAGATAATAACTTATCTTTTAATAATTCTACAAATTCATCTACAGTTTAAATTTGATAGTGGAGACATATTAAATATTTTAAGTACGGAGTCAATTTTATTAATTCTCTCTTCTTTCGAAATAAATACATCATCATTAAAACTTTCATTTAATAAGCTGGCTAACATTTCCACAGAATTACATTCTACATCTTCCGATACAAAAATATTACCATAACAATTACAACACAAAGATTTACCGGGAATTAAAGAAACATTTTTTTTTACTTTTGATAAATGTTGTAAGCTTATTTCCCTTAACCCCTTTTTTATAGAACGTTTGTGAACCCCCAATGGATCACAACATTTTCGTCCAAATATATATTTGTACTTAAATAAATATTTTTTCACATGGTACTCACAGATGGTAGTAATATTATCATGTACTCTTTTAAAAAGTAATTCTTTTTCGTCGTAATGAAAATCATTAATATTTTTCAAATTAACTGATATTGAATCTTTACTCTTATGGTAAACATTTTGATGACACTTTTCATTTAAATACATTCCAATAGAACAGTCCATATTTTCTTTTAAAAATAACAAATGAAATAATTAAATATAAAAGAATTTAAATAATGTAGTACTATAAAATATAAAATTGATAGCAAAATTATGAATAAGCAACTAAATAAAGTACATCTATACTCGGCATACAAGTTAAACCCATTTATTTATAATTCTACCTTTAAAGAGAGCAAATAGGTNTCGTTTAATCGTTTATATGAAGATAAATATAAAGATTTCTGTTAGTGTAATTTAATGATAAATGATAAAAAACGGTAGCACAGTGGGGTCGCGGCATAGTGGAGACATTGCATAGTAGGGTCCAGTATAGATTTAATCTGA